TATTCAGAAGACCTAGCTGGGAACAGTGACGAGAGTGGCTACACTAACAAGAAATTTTCACTGTAGACGAAACAGCCTTCTACTGGAAGAAGATGCCATCTAGGACTTTCTTAGCTACAAAGGAGAAGTCAATGTCTGGTTTCAAAGTTTCAAAGGGCAGGCTGACTCTCTTGTTAGGGGCTAATGCAGCTGGGGACTTTAAGTTGAAGTCAATGTTCATTCACCATGCTAAAAGTCTTAGGACTCTTAAGAATGATGCTAAATCTGCTTTGCCTGTGCTCTGTAAATCGAACAGCAAAGCTTGGATGGCAGCTTATCTGTTTACAGCATGTTTTACTGAATGTTTCAAGCCTACTTTTGAGACCTACAGCTCAGAAAAGAAAAATTCCTTTCCAAATATTACTGCTTTTGGACAATGTACCTTGTCACCCAAGAGCTTTGGTGGAGATGTACAAGGAGATGAATATTGTTTTCATGCCTGCTAGCACCATGTCCATTCTGCAGCCCATGGATCACGGCGTAATTTTGACTGTCAAGTGTCATTAATTTAAGGAATATATTTCATAAGACTATAGTTGCCATAGATGATAATTCCTCTGAAAGATCTTGGCAAAGTAAATGGAAAACTTTCTGGAAAGGATTCATCATTCTGGATGCCATTAAGAATGTTTGTGTTTCATGGGAAGGGGTCAAAATACCAATTTTAACAGGAGTTTGGAAGAAGTTGATTCCAACCCTCATGGATGAGGGTAGAGGGGTTCAAGACTTCCATGGAGGATATTGCTTCAGATGTGGTGGAAACAGAAGGAGAACTAGAGTTAGAAGTGGAGCCTGAAGGCTGGGCGTGGTGGCTCATGCCTGTAATCCCAGGACTTTTGGAGGCTGAGGCGGGCGGATCAAGAGATCGAGACCATCCTGGCCAACATAGTGAAACCACGTCTCTACTAAAATACAAAAATTAGCAGGGTGTGGTGGTGTGCGCCTGTAGTCCCAGCTACTTGGGAGGCTGAGGCAGGAGAATTGCTTGAACCCGGGAAGGAGAGGTTGTAGTGAGCCGAGATTGTGCCACTGCACTCCAGCCTGGTGCCTGGTGACCGAGCAAGACTCTGTCTCAAAAAAAAAAAAAAAAAAAGTGGAGCCTGAAGATGTGGCTGAATTGCTGCAATCTCATGATCAAACTCGTACAGATGAGGAGTTGCTTCTTACAGATGAACAAAGCAAGTGGTTTGAGATGGCATCGACTCTTGGTGAAGATGCCATGAACATTGTTGAAATGACAAGGATTTAGAATATTGCATGAATTTAGCTGGTAAAGCAGTGACAGGGTTCAAGAGGATCGACTCCAATTTTGAAATAAGTTCTATAAAATGCTATCAAACAGCATTGCCTGCTACACAGAAATCTTTCTTGAGAAGAAGAGTCCATGGATGCAGCAGGCTTCACTGCTGTCTCATTTGAAGAAATTGCCACAGTCACCCCAGCCTTTAGCATCCACCAATCCAGTCAGTCCACAGCCATTGGCATCCAAGCAGGACCCACCACCAGCAAAAAGATTGCAACCCACTGAAGCCTCAGATGATTGTTCACATTTTTTAGCATAAGGTATTTTTATATTAAGGGGTGTACATGTTTTTAGACATAATGCTATTGCACACTTAATAGGCTGCAGTATAGTGTAAACATAACTTTTATATGCACTGAGAAACCAAAATGTGTGGGACTCGCTAAATTGCAATATTCACTTTATCGCAATGGTCGGGAACTGACCCTGCTATATATCTGAGACATACCTCTCTATGACAAGGCCCTTTACGTTATGAAACAGGTAATATTGAACACAAAAGATATTATAGAGGGATTTGCATAGAGGGTAGAAGCTGGAACTGGGAAACATCTGTATCTCCTTCCAATGCTTGAGTCCTGTGATGTATGGAAAAATCACATTTTGCATTGGCCATCACACCAAGTGTGACTTTGAGCCAATGGAGTGACTTCATGGGACAGTAGCAGAGAAGGCTGAGTGCTTCTCTGCACATCATGGGCTCTCGGGCCCTCAGCACTGCTGGGCTGGTAGCTCTCGGCATCTACAATAAGCCTCAAGACTAGTTTGCTTTTTCAGTTCTTAAGTATTTGTTTTTAATCTTTTAAAAAATCTTTTTACATCCCTTAATCTCAGGCTCTTGTGATCATTTTTGCTATTCGGTGTGCCTGCCTCTAGTAGATCCTTCTCATCCATTGCTCATGGTCTGCTAGCAGGAGGGAAAGCAGAAACCACTCTGACCAGAATCACATCCTAGCTGAGAAAGAGCAGCTCTGAGAGGGGGCAGAAGGACAGAGGGACATGTGTGAGCATATTCCAGGGACCATGTGAGCTGGCCCCAGGAGGGCAGAAGCTGCCCAGTGAGTGGCCTACATTTAAGTGAGTGTCTGCAAAGCACTCCAGCCCCAAGAAAACGGCAGTCCACCTGCCTGGAAGATGGGTCATTTCTGTCTGCACTCACCTTGGGCTGAGAGAAGCATGATTTGAAATCAAGCGCAAGAACCCCATGTTTTCACCACTATAGGAAAGACACTTTTATAATTTAGAATTCGATCAAATGTAACCCCCTTGAGGCCATCAGATAAAGTGTGTAGAGTCAGGGCAGCTTGTCAGGGGCCACAGGTCACTCTTCCTATTGTCTCCTAGGAGCCTGTCCACATCATAGCATGGTTGCCGGGGCCGAGGTTGTCTGTTCTGCAAGGCTTATCCTGAGCTTGTTGTATACCCCCTCCTGCCCTGGCTTCTCCCCAGCTCCTGCTGTGTGTCTGCAAAGTTGCCTGGCTCCTTGAGCCTCTAACCCACCCTGAGTTTCATGATCTGTCTTCCATCCTGACTATTACAGATTATCATCTGACATTTTGTCCAATCTGTCAGAACTGCTTCCAATGAGCTGCCTTTGGGGTTCAAGAGTCAATGTCAAAAAGACATCCCAGAAATGGTGAACATAAGCTTGTTCTTGGTCTCTCTGTGCAGACCAGCACATTTTCCCTTGACCCTGCCTGGCCTCTCTGCGACCCAGGGCAAATCCTGCATTCCTACCACCCCCATGGTCCCCAAGTCTCCCAGAGTTGAATCATTAGCTGCATGGTTGAACCCAGTCTCCAGCCTCCTCCACTCCCCAGAGGCCTGAAGGCTGGGCTGCCATCACTGGCTCAAATCCCCAACCCTCTAATCCATGGTTGGCCTTCCCAGCATGGCCAGACCTATCCTGGAAGGACCTGGGGGACCATCATGAGTCCCCCAGAAGCATAAGCTCAGCTGTGTTCTGAGAGGTGCACTGTGGTGATGAAAACCATCCCAGTCACTCAGGAAACTTCAGAGTTTAGAAGCTTTATTCCAGATCAGATACATTCTTTATGATAAACCATTTTATTTGGCTTTATCTATCAGGTTTATTTATATTTTCTTTTCAGGTGGGACTCTTTCAACAACTTTGGTTTGGTTTCAGACCAGACCAATTCAGGATTGGGGGTGGGGGAAATAGGAAATGGGGCTTGGGAGAAGTAGAATTGCTGTTTCTATCCTGGCATTTCCACCTCTAATGGAGACTTGGTTATGGAGAACTCAAATAGAAATGACAGCTCTGCCCAGCTTATGCTTATTTATAATCCCAGCACTTTGAGGGGCCGAGGTGGGAGGATTGCTTGAGGCCAGGAGTTTGAGACGAGCCTGGGCCACATAGTGAGGCCCCATTTATACAAAAAATAAATAAAAGAAATGAAGAATTCCTTTTCTGATTTAAAACTTAATTCACAATTAAAGAGAAAACAAGACAAGATTCTGGGCTCGCATTTGTTCTCTATCTCACTAATGTACAATATAGTTGCAGTCTACATTAGAAATATTAGTCTGCTTATAAGTGGTATGCATGGATTAGAGAGAGCTGTGTTTCTTGGGTAGCTGAAAGCACAAAACAGCTTAATAAATTTCAAAATGTAATGAGTACATTTTTAAAATTAAAAGTATCGAGTATAATTATGGCTTTTTGTTCTGACCTGTGTGGTTCAGCAGTAATTGACGCCTAAGAGACCAAAAACTAGTTAGCGGGTAAGCCAGGTCACACTCAGCCTCCCCTCTCCTCGGCACTGCCTGGAGCTTTTATGGAGAGGCAGCCATCCAGAACAGTCCCATAATGGGGTCCTGCTCCAGAGTCAGGAGACGTGAAAGTTAAATACAGGACCCAGGCAGCTCATGGTTTTAAGGTTATAGAGTCAGCACTGATAGAAACCACGCAGTAGGGTTTTGCAGCTTTGTCACCAGTAAATCCCAGTAAAAACTTTTTTTTGGCTAGTAACTTTTTTAAAGAATTTATTTGCTTTAATTGCATTTACATTTTATAGCCTTGCAGATGTGTTATTTGCCATTTCCATGGGATTTTAGTTAGTGATTTTCACCACATTTCCTTTTAAGTGCTTCCCCCAAATCCCCATAACTTCAACAGAAGATGTAATGACAATCTAACCTCATGCTGTCAATAAATGCAGCAACTATGTTGTCTGAGGATACATATGGGCACTCTTGCTCATAACTCCAAATGGCTAGGGTTGGAAATTTTCACATTAAATCTACCAGGCCTTTTCCTGGGTATATGGTGTTTTCATTACTGGCTTCTAGTTGTAAAAACAAATCGTTGACCAAGTTTTCTCAATTAAATAACGTATGTATAAACATCTACGTCACCTCTCCCCATTTACATGACAGCATCCATCCTTGTTTGGTACCTAGAATAAGGATTCAATCAAATTACAATCAGAAAACAAAGTAACATCGTCAATGGTGAAGTTGGGTTTTGTTTGTTCTTTTTAGGGGGAAGAAAGTTAACATTTGTGCTTGGGACATGTTTTATGTTCTTCATTTCTAAAACATGACACACCAGAACTGTCTGACGTAAGAACTGAGGCTAATCGTGGATTCTGATGTCTGTTTTCTTCTTTTTCCTTTTCATTTTGTTTGATTCAAGTGAACTGCCTCATTCACCTCAGAACCTCCTGGCCAGCCCTAATTCTTCCCACAGCCATGCCGTGGCGCTCTCTTGGGTCCGGCCCTTTGATGGAAACAGTCCTATTCTTTATTACATCGTGGAGCTGTCTGAAAACAGTAAGTAGCAAAATGAAACTGTCACCATGGATGATAATCAGATTTTCATGTGTGCACCTAATGTCCTTAACCTTTACTTCTGCGTCAGACCCAAAAAAACCTAGTAAAATGGTGTACTGCTTTACGGGGTTTCAAAGACAGCCTGCCCTTCAGGAAAGAGAAAAGGCCATACAGGGCCTGGGAGAGGGAAGGGAAGAAGTTCTTAGTTAGAGGGGCTCTCGAGGGAGAGTGGATTTGGGGCCTCATGGGATAGCCATGCACACTGGGCTGCCCTGAGCAAAGCTCTGCATAGTGTCACTCCCAGGGTGAGCTGGAAATGGGTTAACAATGCCTGCCCTGTGACTTGAGAGTTCACCACTGCCACCACAGCTCACGTCTGTGGGAAGTTTTCTCTGGTGTAGATGTGGTGCCAGGTGTTCAGTACCCTTTTCCCGACTCACCTTCCAGGACCCTTCTGTCCCTTTAGCACCATCCTTGGAACTCTTCTACATGAAACATGTACCTTCCATGGGCTACTCACAGCCCTGGCTTTCCTCCAGCTGACAAGCCCCTCTTCCCTTCTCTTCCCGGCTGGCTGGGTGACGTGTCCCCCACTGTGCTCACCCACTCACACCTCTCTGCTCTGCCTCAAATCTCTTCCTAGGAAATCGCATGCATTCCTGTGATTTTAAATGACCTATTTCCCTTGATGACTCAAATATTTATATCCTTCATCCAGGCCTCCAGGATCACTTATGGGACCCAGTGACTTGACATCTGTATTGGGTTGTCTCACAGACCTCTCCAACTTACCTTCTTTCCACTGCATCCTTTTAATGTTTTTTTTTTTCACCTCACTCTTGCAGCCACCCTAATCTCTGCTCCCAGCACCCTGCATTTCTGTATTCCTCTGCCAGAAGCCTAGGAATAGTCTCCAATTCCTTTCCATGGACCCCAGCACCCCCAGCCACACACCCCCTGCACCAGCAGTCCTCTCAGTCTATTAACTAGGATTCTGATTGTTTCCTCTCTGCCTCGCACCGCTAGTACCTCTCGCCAGGACCACTGTACCAGCCTTCCAGCTGGCCACGTTTCCTTTTCCAAACCATTTACCTACCAGCAGCAACACTGATCTTCCTAAGATATACCCAGACCAGGCCAGTTCCCTGTACAAGTCATGCAGGGCTTCCTGCTGCATGCAATATAGAAGCCAAATACCTCCCTTCCTCTGCAGCCTCAGCTCACTCACAGTAGCCTGGGCTACTGTGCTCTTTTCTCCATACCGGTCAGCCACATGGGTCACATGACAATCAACATGGGTTTGATGTAGACTCCCTCAATGGGCCAAGCCTCTCATCTCACAGCCTGTTCCTTCCCCTGGAAACACACAGGGCTAGGTTGTTACCCTTCATGGTAGATAACCCATTACCTCCACAAAGATGCTCTCCAGTACACCAGCCCGATTTAACCTTCTAATACCTAAGCTGGAAGCCACCCTCTGTTATCCCATCTGCATTAGTCCCTTTTCACACTGCCGATAAAGACATACCCAAGGCTAGACAATTTACAAAGGAAAGAGGTTTAATTGAGAACTCACAGTTCCACATGGTCAGGGAAGCCTCACAATCATGGTGGAAAGTGAAAGACATGTCTCACATGGCAGCAGACAAGAGAAGAGAGCTTGTGCAGGAAAACTCCCCCTTACAGTAACCTTCAGACCTCATGAGACTTACTATCAGGAGAACAGCACAGGAGAGACCTGCTGCCATGATTTAATTACCTCCCACCAGGTCCCTCCCACAACTCATGGGAATTCAGGATGAGATCTGGGTGGAGACACAGCCAATCCACATCGCCCATCCTTTATTCCAGGTGAGGGTCTCCTTCCCTGGGCCTCCCCCAGGGCAGAGCCAGATGCAGGTATTGTGGCTCTTACCATGATCAACTTTATTTGGCCTGTGGTTGTCTCCTGATGGCACTAGTGTTCTAAACAGGACCCTGTTTTCAGGTCAGCTAGGAGTGGTGCACTCTCAGGTACCATCCCCTGAAACCCAGCTCCCTGTGGGTCCCTGGTGTTGCTTACTTCTGTGGGCAGGTTTAGTCTGGGTTCTGCTGTGGCTCTTCCCAGCTCACACCAGCCTGGACACACCTCCTGCAATTATGGACATAACTCACTTTATTTCTCCTAATTACCTTTTATACACCCTCGCCCTCTCCTAGTAGAGGTTCCCTTCTGTTGATACTGCATGCTCATACCACAGACACACCATTTGATTCACATTTATATCGAAGGGAGTGGATGTGCAGAGACTGTAAGTCACTGTCACTGCCCAGGGCCAAATGGCGATGGGAGGGGAAGATGGGATCCCTGTGCTGCCTGACTCCAGAGCTGGTGCTCATCATGAGTGTCAGGTGTCCACAAAGGAGTATTGGGGAGCTGAGTGTCCCATCCTACACTGCAGTGGGGCTTCGTGGGGAGGCCACACCGAGGCGTCAATCTGTGTGGATGTGGAGGAAGTTATGCTGTGAATCTGAAGAACCATAATTTGAGTTGGGCACCACGCAAGCCAGTTCACCAAGGGAGGGCCCAGAGGCAGTATGTTATTCCGTGTCTTGGTCTTCTAAGATTACACCCTCCAGTCCCCAGCACCACCTAGGAATGGGGCCAGAGTCCAGGCCTTTCTCCACCTTGCCCGGGCATCTCTGAGGCTGGAGTCCAGGCCCTCCTTCCCTTTCCGAGGCCTCTCGGAGGCCGGAGTCCAGCTCTTCTTTCTTGCAAGGACACCTCTGAGGCTGGAGTCCAGGCCCTCCTTCCCTTGCCAGGGCCTCTCTGAGGCTACAGTCCGGGCCCTTGTTCCCTTGTGGGGCTGAAGTCCAGGCCTCTCTTTCCTTGCAGGGGCCTCTCTCAAGCTGGAGTCCAGGCCCTCCTTCCCTTGCAGGGTCTCTCCAACTCCCCCTCTGGACTCTTTCCTCCCAGAGATGGGGCAGGACAGAAACTAGCCGGCATGCAGGTGGCCATCTTAGCTTCCGCTCAATGGCTCTGAACAAAGGGGGAAGGCCAGGGTGTTACTGATTAAGATAACCTCTGAGAGGAGAGAAGAGCTTCCTGAGGATGTCATGGCTGTGCTCCCTGCATGTAAAACAGGACTTGACAGTGAACTGGATGGAGAGAGCAGGACAGGAGCAGAGCTGGTGTTGTCTGAATTCTGGTTCGCATCCACCCTAAAGACAGCCCCTATCAGGCACTGTGGCCTTGGGCTTCAGGACCGTGTCTCCTTTGTCTTGGCATCCCTCATCCCTTGCACTTAGTATGTACTCAGCAAACAAAGTGAAATCAGTCCCTCCAGTGGAGTCCCCTTGTGATGGACTGAAAATTATATTCATGGACCGTCTTCCAAAACAGAGGCATTCTACCTTCCCCAGTTTCTGTGAAAGAAGGCATTGCTTCAGAATGCCCTGGCAGCAGTCTTCTCAGCTCATAGCTTGAGTGGCTCCTCCAGCCAGACCTCTTTCCTCAGTGAGAAGCAGGTTTCGTGTGTAACTCTCCAGCCAACTGTTAAAATGGTGGATCTGGGTTGGGCATCTGCTCTGCACTCTTCTGGGTGTGCTGGGTGCAGATCTGACATGATCAGTCTCCACTGTGAACAACAAGGAAAGGGTCAGAAGCTCTGATCCAGCCCCCGCATAACACATTCCCTGGCGAGGTACGTACATAGTAATATGACTGGATAGAAGGCAAGTCAGAGAAAGTCTTCAAAGAAGATGTGACATGAGACCTGGGCCAGGCTGGCAATGAGAGACAGCATCAGCAAGGGCCCTTCAGTGCCAGGACTCAATGCTCGGTAGGAAATAGCTGCTCATGAGATGGGGCTGGGGCGTTGCTGGCGGTGTGTAAGGATGTTATCTGGGAAAGTTCTTACTCATTCTTGGTGGCTCAGATCAAATATCACTTCTGCGTGTCCCATTACACCTGGGCAGATACAGTTTTGCCCTCCTCAGGGCTCCCATACCATTAGACACACTTTCCTTTCAGCACATGCATCACAGTTTCTGGCTGGTGTCTGTCTTCTGGCAAGACCATGAACCCCTTCAGTGGGGGCAGGGTCCATGTGTAGGACTGTGTGCCCTGTGATATGACACCAGCAGAGTGCCTGGCACACACAGGACAGCTCTGTAGGTGTCCAGCTGCTTTATTTCACTCGGAGAGAGAGAACAGCAGTAGCCCCTCTTAGCCTCTGGCTTTCCTGATGGGGCCTGTCCTGGAGCTGGCTGACATTCCTAGCTCTCTTTCCTTCAGAGCCCGGAATGTGGGTATCATGGCATGCAGCATCTAGAGTGGGTACCATGGTTGCCTCCTGCCTGTTCTGATTTTCACTGTGTAAAGGAGGCCTATGACCTTGACTGAAGCAGCCTGTGCTGCTACTGGCTGGTTGGTCCACGTCTTCCTGCCATGGCAAACAGGAAGAGCAGCACCATCATCTGGGCCAATGGTCTGGTTTTTATTTTTATTAGCAACAAATGCCCTGAAGAAGCAGCTGAACATGCTGGCTAATTAGAGCCAGAAAGAACAGCTTAGCAGCAAGTGCACTAAAATGGAAATTGCACTTGGCTTACACTCAGCATGTGCAAGTGGTCAGCACTAAATAATGCCGTCTATTAGGTCTATCCCTCTGGCTACTCAGGAGACCCTCCACAACCAGCTCCTCCTGGCAGGCTGACTGGGATGCCATTCTCCTGGAAGCCAGGGATCCTGCAGGGACCAAACTCACATGGTTTAGTGGGTGAGGCAGGCATTTGATAGCCTCTGCCCTAACCACGTTTCTGCCACTGCAGAGGGGGCTCTTCTGAGCTCTATGGAGCAGAGCCTGGGGCTTAAACTGGGCCTGCATCCATGCACTGGACTCAAGGTGCATCTCTAGATAGAAGATACCCATGGCCCTTTGCAGGCATCCCAGGGGTTGCCTCTCTGAGAACTTTGGTGGTTCTTCTGCCCCAGGTGCCTGGGGCTCAAAGAGGGGCAG